AATCTGACTTCCACATATGATCTTTACTACTTTTCCATTATTTCCTGTTTGTTAACATTTTCTTGAGAGGACTGTTAAAAGTTCATGAGATACATCTTGAGAACCATGACTCATTCATAATTTTATTTGTTCTTTGACGGAGAAAAAAAAATCACACTTCTTCAGTAATTTTTTTTAATCAGAAGGTTTCCTGTGTAAAAAATCTAACACATTAAACTGATTTGTGTTCCCTGTGTTATTACTCTAGCCCTAAGAAAGCCTCTCATGATAAATTATAATGCAAATTTGAGATATCTTTTTTTTTTAATAAATTGGCAAAACATTTGGTTATCACTTAATTGGGCAAGGTAGTATAGTAGGGAAGGATTATGAAATTTGGCACCAGACTGGCTGGGATTCAAATCCCACACCTGCAATTTTCTGCACCCAATGCTCCTGCTCAATTACATCCTCTCTGTTTTACCAGCTGTAAGTGTATTCTGATACTACCTCCCTCGCAGGACTGTGGAATATAGGAAGAGTTTAGCATGCTTTTTTGCACTGTTTTTAGAATTATCTTAAAATATTGAATCTTCTAGAATTAATAATTTATTTACCTTAAAACTAAGATAGGCTTTAAGAGACTTCACAACGTGAGAACTGTGTCCTTTGATGCAAAGATTATATAGGTTGCCCATCAAGATGAATTAACTCAAGAGTTATGAAGCTCAGAGGATGGTAAGAATAAGTGATAGGTAAGGGACATCTTCACAGATGTTGGCTGTACTGAGACTTGGAAAAGAAAGGAAGATTGGATAGAAAAAAAGCAAAGAGTATAAAAAGAGGCTGCCCTGGCTGAGGAGCGGGGGACATATAGGAATGAAAGTGGTCCATTCCTGGAAGACTGGGGAATTAGGAGTTGGAAATGGAAGTAGGTGTGGAATATTGAGATAAGAGAAAGGGTGTGCTTAAGATTCCATAGGGAAGGACAAAGTTTTGAAAGATCAGATAGCCAGGCAGGAGAATTCTCATTATCCTGTCAGCAGTGGGGGGAAAAAATCACTGGTTTAATTAGCAGCGTGATTGATTGATTGACTCAATAAAAATCTTTCAGGGAACAGAACTACAAAACTTAGAAAGCTGTGCAGATTTCCTCTTCACTGAGGCCAAATATGAACTATTTCAGATTGTCCCTTGACCTCCCGGCAGCGACAAATTCCACAGTCAGGCATTTATCTTTACTCCTGATTTTCCCATCTACCAATAATGGAATCATCACTTCCTTCCGCAAACATTCTAGACACTAACCATGAAGTAAGGCACTATTCTCTAGTAAAGATGTTTAACAGCTTAAGATAAAATTGTATGGCCAAAGGAGAAAACACGATGATATTTTAGAGTATTAACTTGAAGGCTTTCTTCCTGTGAAATTGTCAGTATATGGGTGAGAATCATTTAAAAAAATACTTAAGGGGCTAGATGTGTTAGGCACTCACGGCACAAGGCACCCAGGACAGAACAAAGAACAAGATAGTCACTCAACCAAAGAGAATGAAACCCCAGATCCTGCGTCAGGGCTGTTCAGCAGTTTCTGGGAGCCTCTTAGAGTTGTAAATTCACAGACCCCACCCTAATCTATTCAATCAGAGCCCCTGAGGGTGGGACCGAGAAATCTGCGTTTTAGTAAACTCAGGTGATTCCAAACAACGAGAGTCTGATAATCACTGTCGTAGATTAATTGTACAAATCTGATTTGAAACTTCACAGATGCCTCCCTGGTGGTCGAGGAAGGGGCTGAGGGAGCAGAACAGCTGAAAGGTCTCCACTTTCCATAGTCGCAGCTACTTTCCCTAGAGGAAAATACCCAGGATTACTACAAAGAAAGTAAGTGAGCTTTCCTCTATATATCATGGTTTTCTTTCTTAATCATGGCTTTCTTTAAATTCCTAAACTTGATCTTAGTAGCTATGTAAACTTGTATATATGTTTTATATATACACACACACAAACGTGTGTTTACATGTCAGGGTAAAAGACTAAGTGGGGAAGCCAGAGGCAGGGCAAAGAAAAAAATTAGGAAAAAAAGAAATAAGGGAGGATATGAATTTACCACATCCTGGGGAGACATTGTGCTTCAACAGTCCTTTCTCTTGGTTTTTGTTAGAATATTTAATCTCTGTCCTGTCCTTCTCTGATTTCACCTTAAATTTTTGCTGGTTTGACATAGAATATCATTTTGGGTGTTTTTTTTTTTTTTTTGAGTCAGAGTCTCACTCTGTCACCTTGGGTAGTGTGCAGGGGTATCATGTAAGTCACTGCAACCTCCAACTCCTGGGTTCACGCCATGCTCCTGTCTCAGCCTTCCTAGTAGCTGGGATTGGAGGCGCGCACCCCAATGCCCAACTAATTTTTCTGTTTTTTGTAGAGACGGAGTCTAACTCTCGCTCAGGCTGGTCTCAAACTCCTGACCTCAAGGCCAGGTGCGGTGCTCACACCTGTAATCCTAGTACTCTGGGAGGCCGAGGCAGGAGGAGTACTTGAGCTCAGGAGTTCGAGACAAGACGAGCCTGAAGAAGAGCGAGAACCCGTCTCTCTAAAAATAGAAAAATTAGCTGGCCGTCGTGGTATGCGACAGCTCTGTCTTAAAAAAAAAAAACTCCTGACCTCAAGCGATCCTCCCACAGCCTTGGCCACCCAATGTGCTAGTTTTACTGACGTCAGCCACTACACCCAGCGGAATATCTTTAGAATTATTTTTTTTATGCATCTAAGGAACTTAGTATGTTTGTGGATGGAAAGTGACACACAATTAAATTTGTTCTTAGATTAAATCAGTTAGCTACAAATAAAATAAAATAAGGATATGAGTAATGGGAAGGTATTTCAAATTGAGTAGTGTAGATCCAGGGCAGTTTTAGATGTTAATTTGGGTGCTTATTTAAACATTCAGTTGCAAAAGAGCTGAGACCTCTGTGTCCAGCCGGGAGATTTAAATTGGAGAGTGAAATTTAAATCTTTGGAAATGAATGAGATTACCTAGGGAGAGACTGTAGACTGGAATTTGAGACCAGAACTGAACCCTGGAGCATCCTAAGATTTAGAGGTTGAAGAGGAGGCAGAGATAGAAACAGCCATTGGAAACCAGACCAGTCACGTAGGAGGGACATCCACTGCAGGATCTTGGTAGACAAGAGAAGTAAATGTTCCAGGAGAAAGGGCGCGGTGTGCTACGTTAACTTGCTGGGAACTCGAGGAAAATTTGAATTGAATTTATTTTGGTGGCTCAGGGGAGTCACCCTGGACATGTTTAAGGAGGCAAGAGCAGGGAAGCTACCAGGGAGTTGAAAGCCAAGCAGAAGAAAAAATTAGAGCATATTCAAACAAATAAATAGAAAATATTTGAAATTTTTGTAATATACAAGGGGCTACTCCTTTTTTTCTTTTAGCAAAGAATCAAGAACTAATGAAGCTACTCTTTTAGATCTATAAATATCTTTTAAAATTGACCAAAAAACAAAGGCCAAAAACCTGATAGAGGAAAATAAGAGACTTGACCATAGGATTCACAGCAAAAGAAATAAAAGTGGTTCTTAAGCATATGAAAATAAAAGCTTTACACATAGTAAAATAGATGAAAGTTGAAAATATATGAAGATACTATCTCACCCCAGCTGGTGGGCAATAATCCAAAAGTTTAATACCTTTCTCATATGTTGCCTGGAGTGCAAAACTGTACAGCCTTTGTGGTTGGGAAACCAACATAACATACCAAAATTATAGATGCATTTATCTACAATTCCATTTTAGGGAATATGCCTTTTAAGGCCAATATTGTCACCTTTTTGATTTTAGAATTCCTTTGCACTTAAGTTATTGATGAAAAGCCCAATAAGCTTTTTTTTTTTTTTTTTTTTTGAGATAGAGTCTCACTCTGTTGCCTGGGCTAGAGTGCTGTAGCATCAGCCTAGCTCACAGCAACCTCAAACTCCCGGGCTCAAGCCATCCTCGTGCCTCAGCCTCCCGAGTAGCTGGGACTACAGGCCCCCCGCCACTGCACCGGCTAATTTTTCTATTTTTAGTAGAGATGGTCTCGCTCTTGCTCAAGCTGGCCTTGAACTCCTGACCTCAAGTGGTCCTCCTGTCTCAGCCTCCCAGGGTGCTAGGATTACAGGTCTGAGCCACTATGCCCCACTCCCAGTAAGCTTTTGTTTATGTGTGTTAACATCTATTTTTACTCTAACAGAAATTAAAATTGCATTTTAAAATTATTTGTTAATTCATTTAAAATAATAAAAACAAAACAATTTTTTATGAAATTTTTTTTTCTGAAACAAAATTAAGTATTGAGAAGAATGACTTGGTTTCATTGTTTGACAAATCTCTTTAACCCATGGCTTATTCAGAACAACCATATTCTCGTATCTGCTTCAGCATTCCGTGTGTTGCAATAAGTTGTTTTGGTTAAAGTATATGAAGGAAATCTGACATCACACAGATGTGTATTTGGAAAAGGGGGGAGTATTCTAATAATAGCTTTTTCAGATAATTGTGATTTTTTTTGATCTATAATTCTATCAATGAACTTTGTTCCTCCCCCTGGTCCTGAAGTTCCTCAAGTGCTTATTAGAACTGTGATTTTACTGAGAACTTTTTTTTTTTCCTAAATGACCTACAAGGAAGTGCTCTATTATGCTGCTTCTTGTCATTAATTTTCAGCCTATTGCTTGAGATTGTCAGAAGATTTGGGAGAGCCCCTCTGATCTCAGAACGCTGGCGTAAGTCTGTCTCCTTCCCCAAGCACACGGCTGCCAAAGGGCTATTGGATTTGAGGAGTCTGGGGTGCCCTTATCTGCTCTATCAGTGTGGATTGTTTCCTTGGGTCTTTGTGGACCCTGACGCTGCCAAGTGTGCGGGTTCCAGAAAACAAAGGAAGCCTGCCAATCTTTTGCTGTTCAGAGTGCAGGGAAGTACTCCACATCAGAAACAAACAGTACAGTCTTCCACTAGAGGCACCTACAAGGATGTCCAAAAGGTTCAGCCACCAGTTGCGGCACAACATCACAGAAGACGCCTATTGTAAGACACACCTGGAACCAACCCACCTATTCTGTGACGATGACCAAATCACACTGTGCAGCACCTGTTTCCAGTCCCAGGAACACAAGCATCACATGATGTATGGGATACAAGAAGCCGCTGAGAATTACAGGGTAAGGTCAACACAGATCCCTAAGCATTCTGGCCAGCTTCTCTGATAGATGATTGATTGACTGATTGATTGGACAGATACTCTGATCCTCCAAAATCATTCATTGCCTTAGTTGATGTTTATCAAAGAATACCAGACAAGTTCCATATTTAGTGGAACCTTCGACTTCAAGGCTAAGAAAACATAGAGCTATTGGCCTTTTAGTTCTTTAAGATTAGAACTCCAATAGTTCTAAAACAATTAACTTACCTGGAATCTTGCGCTCTATTTCTCTACAGAAGTTACTCCAAGAAATATTGAACACACTGAAGGAGAAACTTGAAGTAGCTAAAAGCATATTGGCTGATGAGCAAGAAAGAATGATGACGGTTCAGGTCAGTGCTTACCTTGATTCTTAGAGGAAAATTACCAATAATGTTAGACAGCAAGTAATACATTGTAAACAAAGTCAAAAGACAAATTACAAAGCAGAAAAAAAATCTGAAATCCATAAGAGGGAAAAGTGCTAATATTTTAACACATAAAAAGCTCTTAAAGTCAATAAGAAAAAGACTAGAAATTTAACAGAAAAATGATCAAAGAAATGAGTTTTGCAGAAAAGGTGCAAATATCTTTTAAACGTATAAAAAATTTCTGAACTTTGCTCATGGTGAGAGAAATACAAATTAACTATATTAAATTGATAGGTGGCATTCGAATGGGATTTGCATTTGTTGGGATTACCCTTATTGGCACTGATCAAAAAAATTAATAACACGGTTCATAACAGTGATATAGGAGAATGAGCACCTCTTATATTTTTGGTGGTTGTATAAATTGTGCAACCCTTTAAAGGCTAACTTCAGAATTGCTATTCAAATTGAGGGCGTACCATCTGTTAGCCACGTTTCACTTCTAATTTCAGACTATGTCTTTATGCTTATTCTGTGCCAGGTAGTGCAGATTTTAGGTGTTCTCTCTCACTTTTTCTTTCTTTCTTTCTTTCTTTATGTATTTTTTTAGACAGGAGGATCTTGTTCTGTTGCCCAGGCTGGAGTGCAGTGGTGTCATCATAGCTCACTGCAGCCTCAAGCTCCTGGGCTCAAGCGATCCTCCTGCCTCAGCCTCCCAACTAGCTGGGACTACAGGTGCACACCACCGCGCACAGCTAATTTTTCTATTTTTTGTAGAGATGAGATCTCACCGTGTTGCCCAGGGTGGTCTTGAACTCCTGGTCTCAAGTGATCCTCCTGAGTGCTGGGATTACAGGTGTGAGCCACTGTGCCTGGTCCTCTCTCACTTTTTAAAGAAAATAAATGTCCAGTTGGGGATGAAAAGAAGAAATTCCTGTCTAGATACAGATTTTTCAACTGATCCCCATTTTCTTCAGCCCCAGGCACCACATGTTCAACAGATATTGAGGTCCCACTGTTTGCCAGGGACAATGCAAGGTGCTGGGGGTCCATTATTGGGACAAAAAAAAAAAAAAAACACAAACAGTTCTGCTTTTATGGAACTTACATTCTAATGGGTGTAAACAAAATAAGTTCGATGTCTAGTATGTTACATGGTAAGTGCTTTAAAATTTTTTTAAAAAGCAGGAAAGAGGTGGGATGCACTTTTAACTAAAGTGATCAGGACCTTGTCATTCTAAAGTGGCACTTGAGGAGACTCAAGGAGGCAGAGGATTGAGCCGTGTGGTGGTGATGGGGGAGAATATTCTAGGTGCAGGGAATGGTAAGCGCAAAGCCTCAAGGCTGGTGTGTGCCTGGCTGGGGTGTGTAGAGGAAGTGGGGGCTGTGGTTGGTGCAATTAGAAGAAAAGGGGCCATTTAGGGCAGCTAACCTTTGGTGACACAGGGCACTGCTGGAAGGTCGTGAATGAAAGAGCCGCATGACTTAACTTCCACTTTCACAGAAACACTCTAGCTGCTGAATAAAGGGGAGGGTAGAAGCTGAGGTGGGGAGATCTGGAAAGGGACTGCCGCGATAATTCGGGCGAGGAGGTGGTAAGCTGGGGCCGTGGGTAGCAGAGAGGTGGTGAGAAGTAGTTAGAGATGGAAAGAATATGTTGTGGTCAATGTAAGGTAAATATAAGACATAAATATAGATCATCTATCTGTCACGTTTAACCTGAAGTCTGTCGCATCCATATCTATGAGGAAGGAGGAAGAACAGAATTATAAAGAGATGATTGAGTCTGAATATAGAACAAGGCTCCAGTTGTTGAGTGAAGTGAATGAGCTGAACCTCCAGAGACTACCAGGATGCACCTCTGACTTGAACTTGGGAGAAGCCAGTCTGAATCAATCGATTGGGTTTGCCGCGGAGCTAGAGAAGTCCTCCCAGGAAATGCTACAGGTGAGATGTTGAAAGCAACATCCTCATAATGTTAATATTTGAGAAATGAGAAAAAGAACTGAACATTATGTCGATTCCAGAGTAAGACACCCGTGACAACCACAGATGTATTAAATGAATGTATATACCCGTCTCGCAATTCTGTTGCTATGGATTTATCCTTACATGCATATAAAAAGACACATGGGTAAGACAAAATATAGCTATAAATATATTTGTATATATGTTACTACATTATACTACAGATATAGTTACATACATATAAAAAGACACCTGGCCTAGCTCTCTGGGAGGCCGAGGCAGGCGGATTGTTTGAGCTCAGGAGTTTGAAACCAGCCTGAGCAAGAGCGAGACCCCGTCTCTACTAAAAATAGAAAGAAATTATCTAGACAACTAAAAATATATAGAAAAAATTAGCTGGGCATGGTGGCGCATGCCTGTAGTCCCAGCTACCGGGAGGCTGAGGCAGGAGGATCGCTTGAGCCCAGGAGTTTGAGGTTGCTGTGAGCGAAGATGATGCCACGGCACTCTAGCCCGGGCAACACAGTGAGACTCTGTCTCAAAAAAAAAAAAAAGACACCTGGGCAAGGAAACGCAGTAAAACTGAGTGTCAGTATAGGGCCATGGGTTAGCATTAACCTGTGAAGCCAGATGGATTGATTTCTATCTGTGTTCTGCCACCTACTGGCTCCTAGGTGGTCTTGGAGCTGTTGCTTCACCTCTGCCTCAGTTTGTTTAGCTATAAAATGGAGGTAACAATTGCCCCTAGTTCATAACATTGTTATGAGGTTTGAGTGAGATAATCTACATAAAGCTCATTAGTGTCTTGTACCTATTAACCAATCAATAAGTAGGTATTATTACTATTATAACATTTATAGATAGCAAGAGATTAGAAACATCCTATATCTGTCAATATAAAACTCACGAAATAAATTGTACTACAATACATAATATGGAATACTTGTCAGCATATTAAAAGGATATCGTGGCTCTGTGTATATGAGTAAGGAACACTCTCCAAGAAAAAAGCAAGCTTTCATTAGCAATAGAATGTAATATGTAATCGTTGATTTTTTTTCTAAATAATATAATCATGTCCTTATGTGACTAGGTGGAGTGTATATTTGGAAGAATAAAAAGGAAACAAATACCAGTGGCATAATTGTTTATTCCTTCTTATTAATTGGTATAATTTAATTTTAATTAAATTGCAATAAATTTTAATTAATTTTAATTTAATGAAAAGATAGAAAACATGATGTGCTTTAGGTGCACGTTGCTAATCTGGGTAAGTGGACTGCGCGCGCCCACACACGCCTGCATCAACTTGAACACGCATATTAGATGTCAAAGAATCAAGTTTCTATTGAGAGGTGTCCTGCTTGACGCAGAAGGATGTCACGGCCTCACCTAATTATGTCCGTTTCTGGGGCGGCAGGCAGGAAAGGTTTCTAAAGATACAGTTGAATTAGGGAATAAGAGAAGTTACTGGTTGTCGAATAGTAATAAAGAGATGTGTCTGCAGAGACTGAGCCATCTGGGGAGAGAGAACATGAACAAACTGAAGGAGAGCGAGGTCAGAGTTTCTGAGCAGATCTGCAGCCTCCAAAGGGCCACTGCAGAGCTGGAGAAGAAGTGTGGGGAACCAGCCTTAGCAGTGCTCAAGGTAAGACTCCGGGAAAAAACCCTTCATTACGCTACCTGAGAAAAGAGAAGTGGACAGTGCTCATTAGGGTCCCTTCCAGAACACAATCTCCAGTGATCTGCAGCGGTACAGCAAGGTCATGTAGCTAGTTTCCAGTTGCAAATTATCAGCAATAAGTTTGAAGTGAGATGTGCCTCAATATGTTAAGTAATTGATGGGTTAGTTAAGTTATAATACACGCATACAATGGGATATTCTGCAACTATAGAGTAGGAAACAGCTCTATAGGCTCTAAAATAATATTTTCAAGGTAGCTCATTAAGTAAAAAAAGAAAGACACAGAACTAACTGCTTTTTGTTTGGGTTTTAGAGAGTAAGTATTATATATACATGTATACATTTGTGCTTGTTGACTTTGGCAAAAGGTTACCACAAATCAGGCGCGTTGTACTCCTTGGTAACCTTTGGAAACAAGGATGAGAGTTATTTGTATAGCATCTGCTATGTTCTGAATGTTTGTGCCCTTGTAAAATATATATGTTGAAATCCTCACCCTCAAGGTGATGGTATTAGGAGGTGAGGCTTGGGGAGGTGATTGGGTGCTGGGGGCAAAGCCCTTATGAATGGAATCAGTGCCCTTATATTAATAAAAGAGGCCGAGAAAGACCCCTCACCCCTTGGGCCATGTGAGATTAGAGTGAGATGAAGCCTCCCCATCAGGGATGAAGCCTCCCCATTGGGGATCAAGCCCCCACCAGACATCTAATCTGCCAGCACCTTGATCTTGAGATTCCCAGCCTCCAAAACCGTGAGAAGTAAAATTCCATCGTGAATAAGCTACCCAGTCTATCTGTGGTGTAATGTGTTGTTATGGCAGCCTGAATAGACTAAGTATTGTATACTTTAAATTTTGTGCAGTAACATATTAATATATTGCCTTTTCAGAAAGTAAGTTACTATCTTTGTAAGATTCTGTCCATACCCCTCTGCCAGGTCCACATTTGCAAAGTGAGCACATTTGGAAAGTCCCTGTGAGCAAACCCTTAGGAAACAGTTCAGTTCCAGCACCAAGCCCAGCTCCAGACAGTGCAGGCAGCTGTGGCCCTGCTAAGCTGGCTTCCTGACCTGGTTCTCATTACCGCCCCCAGCCTAGCAAGCCACCTCCGGCATAGAAAGCAAGCAGATGGGTGTCATTTGAAAAATGAATGTTCTAATAAGATGACTGAGCTGAGGTATACAACGTAATTAAATGGGAACATAATAAAATGATTTCAAGCGTTTTTCTGACTTTTCCTACTCCATGTTAAAATTTGATGTCTGAAAATTAGCACCACAAAGCTGAAGAAATTACATGGAAATTGATTTCGTTATTGCAAGAAACGCTATTTTCATGGGCACGGCTCACGAAAGACTTAGCTCAAATACTCGGTAGTAACCTTGTCTCTTTTTTCCCCTCAGAATGCAAGATATTGTTTGGAAAGGTAAGTTTGCATTTGGAAACAATGAGTCGGAATCGGAGGCTGATGAGTTAAGCATATCAGTTGCTGGGGTTGGGTTGGGAGGTCATGTTTACTGGTAGATTCGTAATGAGATCCGTACACCAGATGAAGGAGCCTACAATCTGTGCAGATGACTGACATTGTCCTTTCCTCATAGGAGTGAGTCACTACTGCTTCAGTGTCTAGAGCCTGCTCGCATCACAGACCTGAGTTTATGCCAAACACTAGGAATGAGCCAAATACTAAGAGTGTTCCACAGTAAGTTGATACATAGTCATGATTACAGGGCACTTCAGTTTTTTATTTGAGAATCAAGTGACCATCCCACCCTAAATAAAAGTAAATTCCAGTCGTTTAAAAATTTTAAAAGACTAGAGACCTTAATATGCTACGTACATTAGACAACTTGATTATCAAGAAAATAACTATGACCTTATGTTGAAAGCTTTTCCCATACAAAATTTTTTTTACCAGTTTCCCAGCCCTGAAATGTAATCGCAGGCAGATTCCACCAAAAAATTTAAAACTTCTAGGGGCAAAAATTCAATATATATAAAAAAAGATTTATTTCTTCTGCCCCTATAGTTTTGCCTTTTCTAGAACGTCCTATCAATGGCATCATATAGCATGTGGTCTTTTGAGGCAAGCTTCCTCCCCTTAGCACAACGCAACTGAGGGACAGTACATCCGAGTTATTAGGTGTGTCAGTAATTTGTTCCTTTTTATTGTTGGTGGTATTCCATTGCATTGTATAAACATACCATAATTTATTTATCGTTATGCAATTCTATGGCTAGGTGTTGTTTCCAGCTTCATGGTGTGAGAACCAGTGTACAGATATTTGTGCAGGCATGGCTTCGTAGCTATTGGCTGATGAGGAGTGGGGTTGCCAAACTGGTTTTCCAAACCGCTTGTGCCATTTTACATTCCCACCAGTAATGTGTGAGAGATTTAGTATTGCCAGCATTTAGGATTGTTACTATGTTTTATTAGATCCAACCTAATAGATGCGTTAGTGGTATCTCATTTTAATACGCACTTCCAGAATGACTAATGATGTTGAGCATATTTTCATGTGTTCATTTGCCCTCTGTAGCTCTACTTCGGTGAAGGACGTGTACAAACCTTTTCCCCATTTTTGAAATTGGGTTGTAATGTTTTCTTTTTTTTTTTTTTTCCGAGAGAGAATCTCGCTCTGTTGCCCGGGCTAGAGTGCCATGGCGTCAGCCTAGCTCACAGCAACCTCAAATTCCTGGGCTCAAGAGATCCTTCTGCTTCAACCTCCCGAGTAGCTGGGACTACAGGCATGCGCCACCATGCCCACTAATTTTTTCTATATATTTTTAGTTGTCCAGCCAATTTCTGTCTATTTGTTTAGTAGAGACGGGGTCTCGCTCTTGCTCGGGGTGGTCTCGAACTCCTGAGCTCAAATGATCCTCCCACCTCGGCCTCCCAGAGTGCTAAGATTACAGGCATGAGCCACCGCATCCGACCAAGGGTTGTATGTTTTCTTACCGAGTTCTGGAATTTCTTTATGTATTCCATTTAGCAGGCATTTGTCAGATATGTGTTTTGCAAATATTTTCTCCCAGTCTGGTTTATATTCTCATTTCCCTAACAGTGTCTTTTGAAGAGTAGAGGTTTTAAATTTTGATGAAGTTCAATTTATCAATTTTTTATTTTTATGATTTGTGCTTTTCTGTTCTTTTTTTAAAAAAATCTTTGCCTGCCGCAACAAAGATTTCCTTCTAAAAGTTGTATAGTTTTAGGTTTTACATTTCTTTGCGATTTTCTACAAAGACAGTCATGTAATCTATGAGTATAGACAGTTTATTTCTGCCTTTCCAATCTGTAAGCCTTTTCTATATTTTTCTTGCCTTATTGTACTGACTCAGATTTGCAATATGTTAAATAGGAGTAGTAAAAGCAGACACTTTCCTTATTCTTGATCTTAGAAAGAAAGAAAGCACTTAGTCTTTCACTCTAAAGTTTGATGATAGCTATAGGGTTTCTGTATTTGCCCTTCATCAAGTTGAAGAAGACCCCTCTATTCCTAGTTTGCTAAGAATTTTTATCATGAATTAATGTTGAATTTATCAAGTGCTTTTTCTCTTGAAATATTCATGTTTTTCTTCTTAATCTGTTAATATGGTGAATTATATTGATTTTTTTAATATGTTGAACCAGCCATGTATTGCCAGGATAAATGCTTGATAATGTTTTATACATTTACATATTGCTGTATTCAATGTGCTGACATTTTGTTAAAAATTTTCACACTTATGTTCATGAGGGATGTTGGTCTGTAGCTTTCTTTCCTTGTCATCAAGCACCCACTGGCACATTTAACTTAATCATTTTGGTTTTGATTTCTGAATAATCTATTTGGTTCTTTGTCAAATTTGTTTAGTTTTGATTTTAGTTTCCTCTATCTTGTAGATATTTTTTTTTTTTTTTTTTTAGACAGAGTCTCACGGTGTTGCCCTGGCTAGAGTGCTGTGGCATCAGCCTAGCTCACAGCAACCTCAAACTCTTGGGCTCAAGCAATCCTTCTGCCTCAGCCTCCTGAGTAGCTGGGACTACAGGCATACGCCACCATGCCTGGCTAATTTTTTTTTTTTCTATATATATTTTTAGTTGTCCGATTAATTTCTTTCTATTTTTAGTAGAGACGGGGTCTCGCTCTTGCTCAGGCTGGTTTCGAACTCCTGAGCTCAAACAATCCGCCCGCCTCGGCCTCCCAGAGTGCTAGGATTACAGGTGTGAGCCACCGCGCCTGGCCCCTGTAGATATTTTTAAGATTTTATTTTTTTTTCAAAGATAGTAAGCAAAGTTACTTTAGCATCTGTGTCTGGTAATTCCAATATCTAAAGTTCCTTACATATTTATTTCTGCTAGTCTTACTCAATAGTGATTTTCTTATTTTGTCGGTATATGCTTAATTATTTTTGACAGTAAGCTTCCTTTTTTCCTCAGGTAATATTTTTAGAAATTCTCTGAGGCCAGGAATGGGGGTGCGCATTTTTCCAGAGAGAATTTGCATTTGTTTCTGCCAGTCTTCTGGAGATACTAAGTCTGGGACAACTTGAAATTTAAAAATCAAGACGTGGCTTTTGAGACCACCCTAATAATGATGTGAATTGGGCTGCAAGTCCCGAGGTTCAAGTTAATTTAACTTACTGAAGTCAAGCAATAGAATTTACAGAACCTGCTATTGGATCAGATGTTAGAGAAAATAGGAAAGAAAGGACTACTCCAGGTTTATGGCTTAGATAACTAAGGCGACAAGAGAGCTGTTAGCCGAGATGTGGAGCCTGTGGAGGGATAGGCTTGGAGGTCCATTTTGGATATTTTATATTTGGGATTCCTGTGTTTTGTCCATCTGGCATATGGAGTGAGTCATGAACATATAGAAGGTATTTAAAACTTCAGGTAGGTGTGGTTACCTGGGGGGAAAGAATGCAAGTAGTAGAAAGAAAAACGTCCCAGGACCAAGCCTGAAAAATCACAAGAGTTAGAGGTTGAGCAGAAAGAGATAAGAGAAGGGATTAGTCAAAGATAGGAAGAAGGCATATTCATTCAAATATAAGGAAGCACATTAAGTGTTCTTGCTCCCAGCTTGATTTTCTTGAGGATTCTCAGGGGTTTTCTAGTCTCTGTTTGTATATTCTCTTGATTTACTAAATGTCAAGGGCCTACTGTCAGCAATTTCTAGGCATCTACTTCACACTGTGGGGATGTTTAAGATGCATAGAGTGAGTCACAGGGAAGAGCCATGAATCACCTGCTCTGGTAGCAGACTTCAGTGCCTCTGGCTGCTCCAGGCTTAGAAAAGATCCTTAGGAGACTATAGAGTTGGGTCCCAGATGATGTCTGGGTGGGCCTGGTTACCAGGACAGTTTTGAAGCCACTGGGGTGAAGCTACTTCTAAACCTCTCCTTAGCCCATTAGTCGTTGTTTTGTTCTTCCTCATTAGGTTTTAGATTTTGTCCCTTTCCAACATCTTATTGACTTTTTTACCTCTATAATGTCCATGTTGAAGTAAAGCTTAGAAGTTCCTTTTCCTGGATGCTCCTAAGTTGCCTCTCCGACGTCTGTGCCTGAAACTCATGCCAACCCAGCAAGGAGCCCCCGTATGTTAGAAATCGTGTCTGTGAACCAGGGGCAGTGGCTCACACCTGTCATCCCAGCACTTTGGGGGGCTGAGGCGGGAGGATCTCTTGAGGCCAGGGCTTTGAGACCTGTCCAGGTTACATAGTGAGAGCTCATCTCTACAAAATAGTAAAAAATTATTGGGCGTGGTGGTGGGTGCTTGTAGTTACAGTTGCTTGAGAAGCTGAGGCAGGAGGATTGCTTGAATGCAGGAGTTCGAGGCTGCAGTGAGTTATGATCATGCCACTGCACTCCAGCCTGGGTGACAGAGTGAGACCCTATGTCAGGGAAAAAAAAAAAACAAAACTTTTTTTAAATAAAAAAAAGAAATTATGTCTCAGGTATTGGCATTGATGAACCCCTAGGCTAACCAAGTTTTCCTTTCCTTGTAGGATTCATAACTTTGGATCCCAGAACAGCTCATCCCTGCCTGGTCTTGTCTGAGGACCTGAGAAGCGTGAGAGTTGGAAGTGTCCAGAAAGATGTGCCTGGCGACCCAGGGAGATTCGACTTCGGGGCCACTGTGTTGGGTCTGGAAAGCTTCACCTCCGGGAGGCACTACTGGGAGGTAGATGTGGAAAAGGCGACCAAGTGGCAATTGGGCGTATACCAAGTTTCTGCAAACAGAAAGGGCACCGTGCCCACAGCCTCTGGAGATAAAGTCTTACTCATGGGGTCCATGATGGGGACTGATTATACCTTCTGGGTTTTCCCCCCTTTGAAAAGGGTTTCCCTGAGAAAGCCAATGCACAAAGTTGGAGTTTTCCTAGACTATGAATATGGACACATATCATTCTACAATGTGACAGAGAGAACCCTCATTTATAATTTCTCTCGCCTCTTCTTCCAAGGAGCTCTTAGGCCTGTATTTTCTCTTTGTATCCCAAATTGAGACACAAATTCAGACTCTCTCACCATCTCCCCGCATCATGTTCCTTCTTGTAATGTTACTGTTACCCCTTAATCTTCCCATGTGGGAAACCCAAGACCACAGGAGCTCAGAGAGTTAAAAGCAAGACTTTGTGAAATAATAAAGTAATCCAATAAAAGAGTTCTGTAAGTTGGAGCCAGTTTAATACTCCACAGACTTTGTGTTCATGTGACTTTCAACACCTGTTTAGTGAAAGAGGTTGCATTTAAGCTGAATCATGAATGATGATAACCGAAAGACCCTACACTAATTAGAACAAATGCATATGCATCACAGGATTGGGGAATTAGAAAAGAAAAACGGCCTGGGGTCCTTAGAAGTAAGTTAGGGACTCTGGACATATTTCTGAAAACATTTGCAGAAACAGGTAGAATCAGGAATGAAAGCAGGAGTTTAGATTTCAGTGTACCATCCTAGTGCCCTGAGGATGGAGACATCCTGTCACTGACGGTAAGTATCCAGACTTCTAAGTTCCAAATAGAGAATAATTACTTAATTTCCCTGGTTATTTTATGTGGGTAAGGAGGAAGAATTATGGAAAATGTGAATATTTTAAAATTATTTTCCAAGTATTCTTTTTCTACTTCTCTTTCTGACAAGAAAAATTAGATTTCTTAAAATAAGCCTGAATAGTTCAATGCTCTGAAACACATAAGTAGTATTGTACTGATGTCTTATCTTTGCTCTCTTTCTCTATCTGGTGATCCACTAACGAATGCTTTATCTTACATCCTTACTCAGGGGTGGTTATATAATTCTGGGAAGAAGAAAACAAAATATTTATAGAGGGACTTCTATGTGAAAAGTTAATTGTACTTTTTCTCCCTTAGTATTTTTAACAACCTATAAGGATATATTAATCTTATTACTCATATGTGGGAACTGATACTCTGAGAGCTGATTTGATTTTTCTAAAGTCGTATAGCTGCTAAGTATCTAGGAAGGAACAAAGATAAGGAATCAAATCTAGATCATCGTATCAAAAAGTGAGCTCTGCTCCCGTTGCATAGGAATCTATTAGGATAAGCATGACTAGGTAGGACGGTGGTCACATTCTATTTGAATTTCCTAAAAACCCAAGCCAATGTCCACAGAGAGTGAAAGCAGCATATGATTTACGTTCCCTTCTGTAGGAATACTCTCCAGTATGGTGGAGGCCAAGTTCTTCAAGATGGGCCGAGGAACAGACAACAAAGACAAATGTATGAAAATTGCTCCTGTTGACTCACAGGGTTCCAGAAAGTTGTAGAGTCTTATTTATCTATCTTTTGGGGAAAGATTTTTAATTGACCAGTTGAATTCTCAAAATTTGCTTTTAAAATGTGCAGATAACATGGCAGTAATACTCTCTAAGGTTAGGGGGATTTGTGTGGGGGGGGTAAACCCACAACTAAAGGACACGGGGAGCATTGTAGGGAGGAAGGGCACGCCTTTAACCCTTCCTTGGGTGAGGCAAAGACAGAAAGTATAACCATAATGTTTGTACCTTCATAATACCCTGAAATTAAAAAAAAAAAAAGTGCAGATAAGTTGTTGTTTTTTTTTGTTTGTTTTGTTTTATTTTGGTGAAGACGTACACTCGGAAAGAGTCATTGTGCATCTTCACGCAGAATCACAAGAAGCCTTGGGGGAAAGTGGCCCTGCTCTGGGAAGTGGGGGGTTAGGTCAGGTAATTGAGTTGGAAGTAAGATAATTATTTGAAAAATTGAGGTTAAGAATTCAGAGCAATGGCTCTAAAACCCCTTCCCAGTTTCCCGAGGAAACGATAGTGATAATTCATTATATGGGGAAATGTGAGATAATTTAGCAATGTGTCTGTATGATTAATGCTTAAAATCCAATGTCTCCATGGCTAGCTACTGAAAGTTAGAGGCTAAAAAAATACTTTGCATCAAACATTTGCATTGCTATACAAGCCACAACAATAAAAATTGTTTATAATGAGCTAGACCAGTGGTCCTCAAAATTGCCCCCACCCCCTATGGGAACATTTGGTGACATTTGGAGACATTTTTTGGTTGTCACGACACCAAGAGCAGTGCTATTGGCACCTATCAAGTAGGGACCAGTGATGTTGCTATATGCCGTACAATGCACAGCACAGACCGACAAAGAATTACGTGGCTCGAAACACAGTTGTGCTGAGGCTGAGAAACCTTGAGCTAGACCAACAATTATTGCAAGAAGTAAGGAACTTTGAAAACTCAAATCATCCTTTCTCCAAAGTGCAGGAATTCCTAATGTACGCATCTACTGAGAGCTTTGCAAGTTATTTATTAACTTGTTTATTATCTTAGAATATTGAATTTAAGACAGAGGAAATTAACATAATATTGACCTTAACATAAATATGATAATTAATAACCACTTAGTAGGTTATTAGCTACAGACTTTGATAATAATTCTATACATCTTCTTTTTTTTATTCATTCATAATATCCAAAAAACTATCAGTTCCCACTAATTCCTCACCCTGCAAGACCCCCCCATAACCTCCCACCAAGAAGCTAAACCCTATTAATATCTCCCTGATTTCTCCATTTTGAGACACTAATAAAACTGTCAGAGTTGTGTTCTCCTTTCTACAAAAAACCTAATTTATAGCTTTGATCGAGTGTTTTTGGATGGTCTTTCTAGGAGTCCAACAGTGAACATTTCTCATCTTTTGAAAAACAAACTACAAATTCTCCTTCACTTATTCTTTCTCCTTTCTTTTCTGTTGCAATAAACCAATTTTTTCTACCTTGTATTGCCTTCAAATTCCTTCTGGGCTTTTAGGAAGTCCTAATGTATAGATCAGGGGTTGGCAAACTTTTTCTGTAAAAAACTAGTTAGTTAATTAATACTTAAAATGATTCCTAAATGTGTACAGTCATGCGCCGCATGATAATGTTTAGGTCAATGACAGACCTTATACGTGATGGTGGGCCCATAAGATTATAACACCGTATTTTTACCATATCTTCTCTGTGTTTAGTTAGATACACAAATACTTACCACTGTGTTAAAGTTTTCTACAGCACAGGTTTATAGCCTGGGTGTGCAACAGGCTGTACCATCTAGGTTTGTGTCAGTGCGCTCTTGATGTTCACACTACAGCGAAATCACCTAACATGTATTTTTCAGAATGTGTCCCTTTGTCAAGCAATGCGTGACTGTGTTTCTAACCTATGTGTCCAACGGGATGAGAATTGGTTCATGGGAGGTGGAAAATAATCTCAGCTATTACAATGGCTTGCACCTCCAAGAAGGCCCAGTACGTAGACAGATATCCAGTATATCTGTAGTAGTAAAATTTCTTGGGGGAGGGAATGATTAGAAAAAAAAAAAAGTCTGAAATGTCTCCTTGCCGGTGGGGCCGCGGGAGGGGGTGGGGGCAGATAATGACAAAAAGGTTGAGAAACATCACTCTACCCCAGGAGCCCCTTTTTGAGCTTTCTACCTGTATGAATAACTTTCCCACATGTCTTGTAGTACCTCAAAATTGTCACTTTCCTCCTAAACCTGATGGTCATCCTATGTTCCCAGAAATGTCACTTTCCAACACACTCACACAGCTGTCTGCTTTCGCCATCCTCACAACCAACGTCTGGACGAGTCTCCAGCACCACTAGCCTGGTTCCTCCATTTCTCACTAACGACACAGGTAAGTTTCCACACTGCAGCCACAGCGAGCTCTTTGAATCGTGAATTAGGTAACGTCGTCATGCTGATGGTCCTGCAATGCCATCTTGCTGCTCTAAGAATAAAGGCAAAACCCTTTTCTCAGTGCCCACATAGCCCTGCGTGGTCTGACACCCTTCCCTCTCTCCACAACTGGACCATTAAGGACTGTAATCCCAAACTTAGAAGCCAAAAGAGAAGCGGCATGTCCTTGTATTGTCACTCTGGGACACTGTCTAACAAACACCCAGGATGATTTACATTCTCTAGGAGAATGTACCTGTGCTTAGCTTCATTTACCATTTGCTGAGAGCCCAGACCCTACCCAGTTGTGTGTGAACTTGTAGAACTGCCTGGTAGAAAAGATAATCTCAAAGGTTCTGGTTTTATTGCCCTAAGGGATGTTAACTAGTTTTGCGTCTAACCTAAGCAATCGTATTTATAACATTGAATTGTATTCCTGCTGATCTACATTCTCCTAGAACTAACTTTACTGTCTCACCAGTTCCCTAGCTAATTACTAAGGTGAGTAGAATCTTTGACACAGGTCCATCCATATCTGTATGAGGCTCAGGCGTTCAAGCCTTTGAAAATGATACCTTGGCACAGCACATGGGTGCCAAGGAATCTTCCAGCCACAAGGGCTTTGCACATTAGCTTCCTGGTACTTCAATCATTGCTGCTTCCCTTCTTTATGCTAATTTCTACTCAATTTTCAGATTTTAGTGTAAATGTTACCTTCCAAGGAAGCCTCCCTTGACATCTTTAATAAGAAAGAGCTAATCTGGGGACATTCCTGCAACAGTTATGGCTTGTTATTATGGAAAGCACAGCTGGAATTCTTTATTTACTTGGGTGACTATGTGATTGTCTTCCTCACTGGATTATAAATTCCGTGACAGCACCTGTTTTTGTTCATCCTTTTAACTCTGGAAGTTAAGTAGTCCCTGGCATGTAAATATTCAGTAAGTATATATTGAAAGAGAGTAAGGAAAAAAGCAATAAAGGAATAACATGGTAAATTGTGGGGATGGGTGGGTGATGTTAGGTTGTCAAAGTCCTTCTGGAGGAGAGGTTTATTTTCATAAAAACTAAAAGTGAGTAAAGAATATTCAGGTGAAATGGTGTTTTCATTTGCTAGGGATTCTGTACCAAAGCACCACAAACTGAGTGGCTTAAACAATAGAGATTGTTGTCTCATACTTGTGGAGGCTAAAAGTCCAAAGCTGATTTCTTCTGAGAACTGTTTGCACGCCTCTCTTCTAGCTGCCGGTGGTTTGCTGGCAATCTTTGGTGTT